GGCTGATGGTTCGCGTCTGGTTGGGGAAAGAGAATGCACGGTTTTTTATATAGGTATATCGCGCATATATAAGGCGTTATACTATAGCGCCTTATATATGCGCGCTATACCTTTATAGTTCAAATATAGCGCAGTTATTCACCACGCTATACCTTAATGGACAAAACTGCCGTTAAAGTATAGCGCGGTGAATAACCGCGTTATATGTAAAATGGTGCCCAGCTATTCTTTTAACCTATTTATGTCTCTTGTGTCCAAATATATATACCACATTTAGGTTTCGGACTCCCTGAAATAGGTTCATGAATACCATCAACGTCTACGGGAGGAGCAATAATAAATAAGTTGTCGTCAATAAGGTAGAAATCATCAAAACAACAAATCATCCGGTTATTCGGCTAAATATATATTTAAACAAGTCAAAACTAAAATTAAGTGAATGGAGAAAAAGAATAATTTCAAATAAAAATTAATAGTCTAATAGATCTTGACGTTAATTATTTAATTATTAGTCCTTTTCTCTGCAGGCTGAAATCACAAGTTTGAGAAGGGACATCCAGAAACATTTGCAAATCCTTCCCACGTGAAATAGAATTAGGACTAGAAATATCAACTTTCCAACTTAAAGTAGGATTACTATTTTTAATCCTAGTTCCATTAGGACTAGAACTATCAATTTTCCCATTCACAATCAAATTAGACTTCCATATTTATAAATAGCAACCATTCACTACAATCAAACTTAAAACATCATATTAACCAAAGAACAAACAATGGTAGTTCCTGGTGTTGAGGCTGCCGCCAACTCATTCATTCGACGTGTGAAATCACACCCAAATATTTATGGTCGTTACCTCCGAGTCATGAGTGGTTATGCAACTAAAAAATTGGATGTTTCTGCTCTCGTGTCGGAGTTAGAAACCCTATTTCAATCACATGAAGATTTGTTAACTGGTTATCGTATGTTCTTGCCTCGAGAATTACAAGAAATGTTACCTTCAGTGAAACCTCGTCAATCCCGAAAGAACAGTCTTGTTGCTGCTGATATGAAGAAGTTAAACACGTGCATTGATTTTATGAACAAATTGGAGAGACGATTTGATGATAATAGAGGTGTTATTTGTGCATACTTGAAGATTATCAAGGCTTTGACAAAGAGTGAACTTTCCAATAACGAGGCTTATGATACAGTTGCGAAAATTTTTGGTGATGAAAACCAAGATTTGGTGGATGAGTTTGCGTCAGTTTTGAAAATTAAGAAGAGGAAAAAGGAGGAAGAGAATTTATCTTCACCAAATAGTAGTAGTAGTGAAGAAATCAAAGCCAAAAGGCAGAAAACTGCAGGGGAAAAAATTATTTACATGCAAATGGAAGATGAGATGTCTGAAGTTGACATTCATTTGTCCCATGTGAGAACAACCTTACAATCTGCAAAGGCTTTAATGAAAAACTTGAGAGACTCAACACAACAACATCAGATCATTAATATTGTTGACAGCTTTTTGGGTGATGTGAGTCGCAGCTGCATTAGAGAAGAATACAAAGAACAAAGTTTCTTTATTATAAAAAGACTGAAGGAAGATCCTAAACATGTTTTGCCCCAAATTTTGTCAAAGTTGGAGTTCAAAAAGGAGGAATTGATAGAGTCCAAAGAGAAGCTGTTCAAACGTTGGCGTGAAGCTCATCAGCAGAAACAAAATACTATGTTAATTGCATCACGAAAGGAGTAGTAAATTTAGGTTCTAATCCGACAATGTGAAGGAATGTATAATTACAGTATAGGGGCTTGCTCCGTTTTTCTATTACTGAATGTACTGCTACTCTGTTATTATGCTGTTTAGTGATTTGCAGATAGTTTAACCTATTAGTGAACGTACTGCTACTCTGCAATTATTTTATGTTTTTTTAAACTCTCATTTATGAATTTGCAGATACTAATTAAGGTTACACATTAGTTTGATAATAGGCAACATTATCTTTTGGAACAATGTCTATATTTTAGGCTTAAAATCAGTTTTAAAAGTTCCATCAAAGTGTCAAAACACTTGAAGAATTTGACTTTGCATGCTACTAACAATGGCTATTCACACACACACGAAACTTCCAAAAGGAAAGGGGAAGTATACTGATCATCTTCCCAATTTCCAACTTCTATAAAAAGCATCTCTTGGAATCTTAGTTTTATTTCAAGAAAACCATCAATATACAAGAATTATTTGGAACAAGTACAACAAAAAACACAATGCTTTCTAATCTCACCAAGGGTACACACAAAGACAAACACAATTATTGGAAAATGGGAACAAAGACAAAGAGGCTTTTAATTATTCACAAATGCACATTGCTTCCTAATCTCACCAGCAGAGCCAGTCTTGACTTCAATACTGCCCATTTTCTCCATAGCCTTAGCGAATTCAGCGTTGAACTGTTTGAGCGATCCTTGTACTAACTGATTGATGTATGACTTTGTTGTCGCACTTGTTGTCAAGGCTGCATCAGATTGGAATAGTCCTTTTCTCTTTAACAAAAGCTTAAAGTAGCTAAGATCAAAGGTGCTTGAACTTCCAGGATCCATTTCAACGATCGTGGTATTGTCATTGATTGATTTAGCTGCATATTCGCTGTCTAGAGATGGATCTTGTTTGCCCAAAACTCCAGTAAAATTGTATAAACGTGTTGAAAATGACGAGCAATGAGAGACTCCTATGGTATGTGCACCTGATAAAGAAAAATTGTTCATAGTAATAATGATTCTTGTTAAGAAAAACTAATTAAATATATGGAAAATCTCAATATAGAAGAAGTAGATATATGTACTAATTTAAACGTACCAGACAATAGGACCAAGTCTTTTAGGTCAAGACCCTTGCTTGCAAAAGATGTCTGGAGACTGGAAAAGTTACTAGTTGGAGGAGGAATGTTTGCCAAAGCTTCGGACGCGTTTGATATTCTTCCATCTCTTCTACCAGTTGGAACATTCCAGTAAGGACCTCCCTATCATGCAAACAAGAAAAATGGAGACAATGAGATTAAGAACATATTTCATTTTAATTCATTCCCTTTCATGCTTACTATAACTAGTTATTTCTAGTTTGCTAGAAATAACTTTAACCGTAACTTTAGCTCTATATATTGGTCTGAGCAAGATACGACATAAGCAAATATGGTTCGACAAGTTGGAAACCAATTAACAAGTTGGTTCAAGTTTTGTACTTACCGTGACCACGACGGAGTCTCTAGAAACTAAGGCAACAATATCA